CCACCTTAGGTGTACGTGGCTGGCGCCTTAGCCGGTTGAGCTATGGGTGCCGAGCCTGTAGCTCACATTTCAACCTCACCTACAGAGAGGCAGCTCAAAGTCAGGCCCTGTTTCAACAAAGGGGTGGCTGAATTCAGACGCGCGGGCTCACACTTAGGCCCTGCCCAGAAGCAGCTCCACCTGCCTCCACCCTGCACACCTCACCTGTAGGCCCAGCTCCAGCGCGATGCCCAGCAGTGTGGTGTCCGGTGGTGCACCGGCTGGGGTGGCTGTCTTGCAGGCGTCCTGTGCCAGCTTGAAGAGCAGGGCCGGAGAGTGGATGTTCTGTTGGATGGAGCCCAGGACCGTGTGCAGCCACTTAGGGTCTCCTAGGTGAAGGGAGGGCCAGCATGCACAGTTGGACACAGCCAAGCACCAGATCCTACAACTGCCCGATCTGTTCACACAGGTCCCTCCTCCCAGGGGAATGCATGTGCATGGAGGGAGATACACCAAGCAATGTTTCTGTGAAGATTCAGACACTCAGTGGCTCCCTCTGCCTGGTTATCTCCTAATTGTTTCCTGGAGAAAGCCACCTAGGGACCCCTAAGTGGACCCCTCACCTTCAAGGGCATAAATTCTGAACCCTGAATACCAGGGTTCAAATCCCTGTCCTGCCACAGACTAGCTGTGTAACCCTGAGAAAGTCAGTTCACCTCCCTGGGTCTTGGTTGGCCCCTCTGTAATGTGGGTAATATGTGGTACCAAGGCAATGAAACCTGCCACACAGGGCAGTGGTGACTCCATACTTTGAAAGGCCTTAACCTGGCAAGGAGCTACACAGATGTTAGCTTTTATTACTACTGTTATCACTGATCCAGATTCTATAAGTCCCCATCCTGTTCCAGCCACACTAGCCTCCTCTCTGTTCCTCAAACATAACAGGGATGGTTTATCTGTAGGGCTTTTTGCACTGGCTGTTCCCTCTGTCTGGAATGCAGTTCCTAGATGCTATGGACTAAATTGGTCCCTCCCACCTCTCCACCAATGATCCATTGAAGTTATAAAACCCGTATTTGTAGATGGGGCCCTAGGGAGATAATTAGGTTCAGATGAGGGTGGGGCCCTCATGGGAGGATTCATGCCCTTATAAAGAGACCAAGAAATTTAACTTTCCTTTTCTGTCCCTTTCTCCCTCTTTCTTCTCACCATGTGAGAACACAGTAAGGTGGTCTCTGCTAGACAGAAAGCCTTCACCAGATCCTGACCTCTGATTTCTGGCCTCCAGAACTATAAGAAAATACATTTCTGTTGTTTAAATTGCCCAGCTTATGATATTTTGTTATGGCAGCTTGAGCTCTGAGCTAAGACACCAGGTACCTGCACACCTCTACCTTCAGGCCTTTGCTTAAATACCTACCTACCTTTATTCCCCTTCATCGCACTTAATTATCTTCTCAGTTATTGTGTCACTAACTTCTCCCACTAGAATGTAATAGCATAGGGCAGGGGATCTGGGATGGTTCTGACACCTGCTACATCCCCAGCACCTAGGACATATGTGCTTGGTACATATAGAAGGTGTTCAAGAAATACTAGTGGATTTCTGCAAAAGAATAAGAGGAGATAGGAAAGGCAAGAGGGAAAGCAAGAAGGAGAGGAAGACAGAGGAGGAAGATGGGAATGGGGACAGCCGCCATCCTCACCCTTGGCAGCTGTCAGCATGGCAGAGGCCAGTTCACACTGGCGGGTCTCCAAATGGCCGAGGATGAACCAGCGGGGGAAGCGGTTGCTCATGATGGAGTCCAGTGGGTTGGGGTGAGGTTCTACAGCCAGAAACGCTGTTTCCAGTACGGGCAGCCTGAGGTGAGGGGAGATGTGAGCCCATGGTGAGGCAGGCTGCTATCTCCATCCTCTCTAGGAGACAGTGAGGCCTCTGCCTCCAGCCCAAGTGTCCTCTCTCAGGCCAAGCAGGGTGCTGGGAGCCCAAGAAGATAGAGAAGGTATGCACAAGATTTTCACTGCTGTGCTGTTTCTAACACTATGGAGAATTATCTAGATGCATATCATCTAGGATTTGGTTGAACAAACAATGCTCCATTCATGCACCAAGAGCCACATGGTTTCTAAAGAGGTAAAGGGATTATACTTGTGCCCTGATGTGAGCCCCATCAGTTCCTGGATGACACACCTCCCCCTTGCTGGCTCGATTACTATTCCTCTCAATGTCCCCCAAATATACCATCCTGCCTCAGGGCCTTTGCACAGGCTGTGCACCCTCTTCGTGGAATACTCTTTCTAGACTGCTGGTGGCTCCTCCCTCACATCATTTGAGTCTTTGCTTATAACTTCAAAAAATTGTTTATTTATTTATTTATTTTTAGAGACAGGGTCTTGGTCTTTCACCCATGTTGGAGTATTGTGGCTTGGTCATAGCTCATGCAGCCTTCAACTCCTGGGCTCAAGAGATTCCCCTGCCTCAGCCTCCCGAGTAGCTGGGACTACAGGTGTGTACCACCACATCTAGCTAATTTATTTTTCTTTTGAGACAGAGTCTCACTATGTAGCCCTTGGTAGAGTGCTGTGGTGTCATAGCTCACAGCAACCTCAAACTCTTTGGCTTAAACAATTCTCTTGCCTCAGCCTCTCAAGTAGCTGGGACTACAGGTGCCCGACCCAGCATCCTACTATTTTTTTGGTTGTCACTGTTGTTTGGCAAGCCCGGGCTGGGTTCAAACCCACCAGCTCCAATGTATATGGCTGGCACCCTAGCTGCTGAGCTACAGGTGCCCAGCCACACCCAGCAAATTTTTAAAATTTTTTTGTAGAGACGGGGTCTCACTATCTTGCCCAGGTGGGTCTTAAAACTCCTGGCCTCAAAGAATCCTCATGCCTCAGCCTCCAAAGGTGCTGGGATTATAGGCATGAGTCCCCAGGCCTGGTCTCATATCCTGCTGGGTGAATGCTTCCCCAGTACCCCCATCACAAGTGAAATTGCAGCCTCAAATTCCAGTGCCTTCTACTACATCCTTGACCTTTTCCTACAAAACTCAGCATCATCTGACATGCAACATAGTTTACCTATTAATTTATTTGTAGGCTGTCTCTCACTAGAAAATCAGCTCCATGAGGGCAGAATTTTTTTTTTTTAAGAGAATAGGTTGTTTGGATACCCAAGAATGTCGTGGCACCATCAAATTTCACTGAAGCCTCAAAGTCCTGGGCTTAAGTGATCCTCCTGCATTAGACTCCTGAGTAGCTGGGACTACAAGCATATGCCGCCATAACTGACTAATTTTTATTGTTTTTTGGGATAGAAATGGGTGTCTTGCTATGTTGCCCATGCTGGTCTTGAACTCCTGCCCTCCAGTGAACCTTTCTGCTTTGGCCTCCTAAGGTACTGAGATTATATACATGAGTTACCTTGTCCAGTGGAGGGCAGGAATTTCTTTTTTCTTTTCTTTTTTTTTGAGACAGAGTTTCACTATGTCGCCCTTGGTAGAGTGCTGTGCTGTCACAGCTCACAGCAACCTCAAATTCTTGGGCTCAAGCAATTCTCTTGCCTCAGCCTCTCAAGTAGCTGAGACCACAGGTGCCCGCCACAATGCTCAGCTATTTTTGGTTGCAGTTGTCATTGTTGTTTAGCAGGCCTGGGCCAAGCTCGAACCCGCCACCTTTGGTGTATGTGACTGGCGCCGTACTCACTGAGCCATGGGTGCTGAGCCAGAGGGCAGGAATTTCTGACTATTTTGTTTACTACCACATTTGCAGTGACCCTGACAATGTCTGGTACACAGAAGATGAACAGCAATTGTTTATTTGTTGAATGATTCCACATCACTAAGGTGTATCGTTACATGCCTCACTATATATGTAGTTTCATGTTTAGAAAGTTATTTTAGGGGGCAGCGCCTGTGGCTCAAAGGAGTAGGGCGCCGGTCCTATATGCCAGAGGTGGAGGGTTCAAACCCAGCCCTGGCCAAAAACTGCCAAAAAAAATAGAAAGTTATTTAGGGGTCTCGGCGCCTGTAGCTCAAGTGGCTAAGATGCCAGCCACATACACCAGAGCTGACGAGTTTGAATCCAGTCTGGGCCTGCCAAACAACAATGACAACTACAACCAAAAAATAGCCAGGCGTTGTGGTGGGCGCCTGTAGTCCCAGCTACTTGGGAGGCTGAGGCAATAGAATTGCTTAAGCCCAGGAGTTGGAGGTTGCTGTGAGCTGTGAGGCCATGGTCCTCTACCCAAGGTGACAGTTTGAGGCTCTGTCTCAAGAAAAAAAAAAAAAAAAGAAAGAAAGTTATTTAGGCAGGGAGTGGTAGCTCCTAAATGTAATGTGGATGTGGCGAATAGGGAACTCTTATATACTGTTGGTAAGGATGTGAACTAGTACAACCTGTATGGAAAACAGTATGGCGATCTTCAAAGAACTGAAGTAGACCTACAACTTCTGGGTATCTACACAAGGGAAGGGAGACCATTCTATAAAAAAGGCACCTTTACCCAAACGTTTATGGCAGCACAATTCACAATTGCAAAGATGTGGGGTCAAATTTAGTGCCCATCAACTGATGAATGGATAAATAAAATGCAGTGTATATATATGTGTGTGTGAATACCACAGAATACTACTGAGCCATAACAAAAAAATGAAATAATGTCTTTTGCAGCAACATTGATGGAACTAGAGACCATTATCCTAATTGAAGTATCTCATGAGGGGGAAAAAACATCTCATGTTCTCACTTACATATGGGAGTTAAACAAGGGATATATACATATATATTCATAAAGTGGTATAACAGACATTGAAAACTACGAGGTGGGAGGGCAGGAGGGATAAAAATCTACCTGTTGTGTACAAAGCTTACCATTCTGGTAACAGGTGCACTGAAAGCCCTGACTTCAGCATGACACAATTCATCCATGTAACAAAAAACATATGTACTCCCTAAATCTATAAATAAATAAATAAAATTATTCTAATTTGCTAGATGTGATTAACAGAAGGGAAAAAGAGTTAAGACTATTCTGGTCCCAAATATTGGCTAAATTTCCTTGCTATGTAATCTTGGGCAATAGAAGACACCTTAGGCCCATTTCTTTTCTTTCTTTTTCTTTTTTTTTCTAAGAGACAAGAGTCTCACTTTGTTGCCCTTGGTAGAGTGCTGTAGCATCACAGCTCACAGCAACCTCCAGCTCTTGGGCTTAGGCAATTTTCTTGCCTCAGCCTCCCAAGTAGCTGGGACTACAGGTGCCCGCCACAACACCCGGCTATTTTTTTGTTGCAGTTTAGCTGGGGATGGGTTCGAACCCACCACCCTTGGTATATGGGTCTGGCACCCTACCCACTTAGCCACAGGCACTACCCTTCTTTTCTTCTTCTTCTTTTTTTTTTTTTTTTTTGAGACAGAGTCTTGCTCTATAGCCTTGGCTAGAATGCAGTGGCATTGTCACAGCTGACTGCAATCTCAAATTCTTGGGCTCAAGTGATTCTCCTGCTTTGGCCTTCTCAGTAGTTGGGACTACAGGTGCTCACCACTATGCCCAGATAATTTTTCTTTTTCTTTTTTTTTTTTTGAGGAGAAGAAAAGAGAAGTTTATTAATTTTCTGGTGAATGAGGAGGTTGTCAGATTCCCATCCTAAAGTACCAACATCCTCTAAATTTTCTATTTTTTGTAGAGGGAGGATCTCACTTTTGCCCAGGCTGGTTTTGAACTCCTGACCTCCAGTGATCCCCTGCCTCAGCCCCTCCAAGTGCTAGGATTATAGGCATGAGCCACTGTGCCCAACCCAAGCCTGTTTCTTTATGCAGAAAATGAGAGTAAATATACTTATTTTTCTAGATTGTTTAGAAGATTATATGGATTACTGTGATTTAGACCCAGGGCCAGAAACTTTTTCTGCAAAGGGCTGGATAGCTGATATTTTTGGCTTTGCAAGTTATTTGGTCTATGCTGCAAGAACTTAACAGTGCTATTATTATGTAAAAGAAGCCATAGAGAATTCACAGATGAATGGACTTGGCTGGGTGCCAATAACACCATTTCTAGACACTGAAATTTGTATTTCCTATAGTTTTCATGTATCACAACCATTTAAAAGTGTAAAAAACCTCTCTACTGAAGATCAAGCCAAAACAAACAAAAAAAGTAAAAAGAGGTGGTGTCTGTGGCTCAAGGAGCAGGGCACCGGCCCCATATACCAGGGGTGGCAGGTTTAAGTCCAGTCCCGGCCAAAACTGGAAAAAAAAAAAAAAAAAAAGTAAAAAGAATTTTTATCTTAGGGGTTTTACAAAAATAGGTGGTAGGCAAAATTAGGCCTCTGGGCTGTAGTTTGCAGACCCCTCGCTTAGAAAAAAACATCTTTCACATATAAAAGCTTGTTCTAGGCTTGGCGCCTGTACCTCAAGTGGCTAAGACACCAGCCACATACACCTAAGGTGGCGGGTTCGAATCCAGCTTGGGCCCGCCAAAACAACAATGATGGCTGCAACCAAAAAATAGCTGGGCGTTGTGGTGGGCGCCTGTGGTCCCAGCTACTTGGGAGGCTGAGGCAGGAGACTCCTTTGAGCCAGGTGTTGGAGGTTGCTGTGAGCTGTGATGCTATGGCACTCTACCCAGGGGGATAGCTTGAGGCTCTGTCTCAAAAAAAAAAAAATCTTGTTCTCTAAATTATAGCTTTTTTTTTTTTTTGAGACACTCTGTGGCCCTGAGTGGAGTGCTATGGCTTCTCAGCTCATAACAACTTCAAGTCTTCTTGTTTTTTGAGACAGAGTCTCAAGTTGTCGCCCTCAGTAGAGTGCTGTGGCATCACAGCTCACAGCAACCTCCAACTCCTGGGCTCAAGTGATTCTTCTGCCTCTGCCTTCCCCAAGTAGCTGGGAGTACAGGCACCTGCCACAACGCCTGGCTAAGTTTTGGTTGCAGTCAACATTGTTGTTTGGTGGGCCCAGGATGGATTCCAAACTGCCAGGTCAGGTGTATGTGGCTGGTGCCTTAGCTGCTTGAGCCATAGGCACCGAGACTCAAGTCTTGGTCTCAAGAGATCCTCTTGCCTCAGCTTCCCAACTAGCTGGGACTATAGGCACCTGACACAATGTCTGGCTATTTTTTATTTTTGGTAGAGATGGAGTCTTGCTCTTGCTTAGGCTGGTATTGAACTCCTGAACTCATGCAATCCACCCACCTTGGTCTCCTAGCATGCTAGGATTATAGGTGTGAGCCACTGTGCCTGGTTTTAAATTACAGCTTTTATGTAAGTTGTAATTATTATTATTATTTTATTTTTATTTTTTTTAAAGAGACTGAGTCTTGCTATGTTGCCCAGATTGGAGTGCAGTGTTTGTTCATACATGTGAGGTAACGAGCTATGATTGAATTTTTGTCCTCAAGCGATCCTCCTATCTCAGTCTCCCCAGAATCTGGGACTAAAGGCACCCACCTCTACGTCTGGCTCCAAAATTATTAATAGGTATTCCTGGAGTATGGTTCAGAGGTCATGGGATGGGTTTCACTTTGTTGGGCCAGATGGGTTCCACTTTGTTTGGAATCTGCTGGTACATGTGAGAAATTATAATAAGGTCTTTTTTTTCCCAAGACAGTCTCACTATGTCGCTCTCAGTAGAGTGTGGTGGCATCACAGCTCACAGCAACCTCAAACTCTTGGGCTTAAGTGATTCTCTTGCCTCAGTCTCCCAAGTAGCTGGGTATACAGGTGCCTGCCACAATGCCTGGCTATTTTTTTGTTGTAGTTGTCATTGTTGTGTGGCTGGTGCCCTAACTGCTGAGCTACATATGCTGAGCCTATAATAAGGTTATTCATTGCCTTATTCATTTTCTGGGGTGTAGGCAGAGAATAGCATAAACATCTGTCATTTCCTGACTGGTTCTCTTTTTTTAAATTTAAATTATTTTTTGAGACAAGTTCTCTCTCTCTACACTCAAGAATCTAGTGATGCAATCACTGCTCACTATAAGCTCAAACTCCTAGGCTCAAGCAATCTTCCCACCTCTGTCTCCCAAGTAGTGGGACCACAAGCATGTGCCATTATGCCCACCCAGCTAATTGTTTTTTAATTTTTTTTTTTGAGACAGAGCCTCAAGCTATCTCCCTGGGTAGAGTGCTGTGGCATCACAGCTCACAGCAACGTCCAACTCCTGGGCTCAAGCGAGTCTCCTGCCTCAGCCTCCGAAGTAGCTGGAACCACAGGTGCCCGCCATAACACTTGGCTATTTTTTGGTTGCAGCCGTCATTGTTTTGGTGGGCCTGGGCTGGATTCGAACCCGCCACCTTAGGTGTATGTGGTTGGCGCCTTAGCCACTTGAGCCATAGGCGCGAGCCTTAAATTTAATTTTGTATAGGCAGGGGTATCACTGTGTTGCCCAGGCTGTTCATGAACTCCTGGCCTTACACACTCTCCTGCTTTGTCCTCCCAAAGTGCTGGGATTATAGGAGTGAACCAGTCTGCCAGACCCTGACTGCTGCTTTTACAATGCATTGGGAATACTACGCAGTGACTCAGATATTATGTGACAAGGCAAAGCCTGTAAGAAGCAATGCTTAGTGAAAACAAGCCGCAAACACTAAGTACTGGATCCACCACTGGCATTCATGAAGGATTTATGTTCAATTTCCAGATTATTAGTTTGCAGAAATCTCGACTCTTGTTACATTGCTTACCTCCAGAGAGATTTGGGTAGGCTGAGACAAACTTACCCAGGAAAGGGCTTAGTTTTCTATACCTATTGCACATTTTTTTTTTGAGACAGAATCTCACTCACTATGTAGCCCTAGATAGAGTGCAGTAATGTCACAGCTCACAGCAACCTCAAACTCTTGGGCTTAAGCTGGGACTACAGGTGCCCACCACAATGCCCAGCTGTTTATTTACAGATGAGGTCTCGCTCTGGCTCAGGCTGTTCTTGAACTAATGAGCTCAGGGAATCCATCAGCCTCAGCCTCCTAGAGTGCTGGGATTGTAGGTGTGAGCCACCGTCCCCGACCTATTGCACATTTATATTTCATAATGAAAAGCTCATGGCAGCACTAAGTGCCAGGCTAAAGGAGACTGAATTTGCCAATCTGTGAGTCCTCCTTGAAGATAGGGCTCAGAGCTCTCCTACCTGGCTCTTGCTCCCAGCTCCCACTCTGGTCATGTCCCCAGCCGCCTGTCCTCACCTCATGGCTCGGAGTGCGAGGTGATAGGCCAGGTCTGGGTCATGAGGCAGCAGCGCGGTGAACAGGTAGCGGGCACAGGTGTGCATGGGTACGCTCTCCCGGAACAGCACCTCTCCGAAGCCGCTGAAGGGACCCCCTGCAGGGACAGCCTGAGCTCAGCCCCCAAATGTGAGCTCACCAGTTCTTCCCAGGTCTCCTTAGACCTCAGGCTCAGAGTGGAGGATGTGCTGGTCCCAAGACAGAGTGATTGGGGCCAGGGAAGTCCAAAGGATAGGGGCTCAGGGCTGAGACTTTGACAATTACTGGGGAAGCCAAGGAAAAGAGGAGACCACCAGGTACACCAGGGTGAGGGGCAGGACTCAGATGCAAGGTGGGACTAGAGGGTGGAGATGCAGCTGCATCTGTGGTGGTGGGTGGTTGAGGGGGCGGAACCAACGGCCCAGGCAGCAAAGGCCAGAAGGTGCAGGGCCAGTCGGCCCTTTGTTGCTGTAAGGGGCGGGGCCTCACAGCATACAGGCCTTTAAAGTCAGATCACAGACGAGCCAGGAAGGACCAGGGCGGAGCCAGTGGGATTTGCCTCCGCTGTAGATGGGGATGGAGTGGATGTCTTTTGGCATCAGCAACTAGACTCATTGGCTTTAAGGCAGGCAGGCGATGTCGCCAGGGTATAGCAAGCACCATTCTCAGCAGTTATGGGCTGGCAGCCGGCACTAGGGGGTGGGGCCAAGAGCTGGATCTCACCTCTTAGGAATTGCCCAGGTATCAGTGGACAGTAAGGACCACGGAGCAGGACCTCCCTATCCAGTAGCAACCGGGGCACTATCGGACCTGGGACACTAGCTATTACAGGAACGGCCAGACCTATGGGTGGGACCTCACCTTCCAGCAGCAGTCCCGCCTGTTTGCGCAGCACCTGCACCAACTGCTCATCCAAATCCACCTCCTCCAGCAGAGCCAGCAGCTGCTCCTCGTTGCGCACCACCTTGTCCTGGGCATACAGGCCCTCTGGCAGGGTTCGCTGCTGCCCCAGTCCCAGCAGTGTCACCTCCAAAGCCAGCACCAGGTAGGACTCACCAGGGCTCCCAGGTACGGGTACATGCTGGTAGGCAACCTTGCGCTTCTCGGAGCCTGAGTCTGGGGAAGACAGGACGAGGCCTGCTGGGAGTTGGATCCGTTTCCCTGGGACCTTCTTAGCCCTTGGCCCCAGTCTTGGAGCCTGGGGGTGGGGTGGACTTTAGACGGAGCCCGGAAACTCAGCACTCACCAGAGTGTGAGGCCCCTCCTAGCAGCAGCTATGTCTATGGTGGCTTCACTTCCAGAAGCTGGCCACGGGGTGTGGTCAAGAGGAAAAATGTGGGGTCACCCAGGTCCTGGGCCAGGGGGCGTGGCCAAGGGTGGGGATAGTCCTGCCTCCTCCTAGGGCCCTCCCCTTGGGTACCTGAGTAAAGAGTGAGGGTCTCCTCCTCCAGGCGGCAGGCCTCCAGGAGCGCCCTGCAGAGGCAGCCGATGGGATCCAGGGGGTGGCCCACCCATCCTTCCGTGTTGGTAATGCAGGTGGAGCCTTTTTGGAGCAGTTCTGAAGGCAGAAAATAGGGGCTCAAGCACCTGCCTAAGGCTCTGGGGTGGGGCTTTGTCTCCCAACCCCAGCCCAGCCTCCTGGGGAGGCTGTGGCAGTGCTTGCCAAATGCAGGCCTGGCAGGGCACAGGAACATTGGGTGCTTTCTAAAACACCCAACCAGAATGTCATTCCTCTCCTCCTAGTATGTAATCCCTCATCACCTTTCTGAAAATAAAGTCCAAACAACTTGCAGGGCCCTAAGGAATCACTACAAAATTTCTCCACATGGTGCTCTGAGCCCTCTGAAAGCCCATCCTCCAACCTTCTCCCCCAAGTCATGCATTCTCTTGCTTCTGGACTTCTCCCCAGAACACTCTTCCCCCCCATCTTTGTCCTGGGTATCTCCTAGTCATACTTTAGTTCTCAGCTTAGCTCTCACCTCTGTGGGTGCTTTCCTGATCCTCCAAACCTGATCAGGGCTCTGGTTGGGTCTCACTCAGAGCCTCCATGCTTCTTACATGACTTGCTTTCTGCTCAATTTTCTGATAGCTGATCCATCAACCTCATCACTCAGAGAACTCAGGGCTCCCTCCTGTCCACCATAACTAGTTCACAAATGCGTTCTTTTGGGGGGGGGGCACATGCATTGTGGGTTTCATTTTTCATTTTTTGAGACAGAATCTCACTCTCTTACCCTAGGTAGAGTGCTGTGGCATCACAGTTCACAGCAAATTCAAACTCTTGGGCTCAAGTGATCTTCTTGCCTCAGCCTCTCTAGTAGCTGGGAGTACAGACGCCTGCCAGAGCACCTGGCTAGTTTCTCTATTTTTTATTTTTTTATTTTTATTTATTTTTATTTTTTGAGATGGAGCCTCAAGCTATCCCCCTGGGTAGAGTGCCATGGCATCACGCTCACAGCAACCTCCAACTCCTGGGCTCAGGTGA